CTTTACCTTTTCATCTTCCCCTTTTCCTTTTACCCTTTCTTTTTTTTTAGCCCTTTAAAAAAGACTCGGAGAGAGTAATTGTGATCTGCCCCTTTCTTCTTCTGTTTTTTTTTTGTTAAAAAAAAAAAATCAGTAAAGTATTGTAACGTGCTATAATACCATCCGTATGAATCAAGATCTACAGAGAGATCATGACTTAGTTTCATTGTTGGCAACATGGTGATGCTCATATGTGTTCAATGTGGTTTTGCCCTAATTTGTTCAAGTATGAGAATGTGACGGGATCTGAATGATAAGTAGGTCTCACCTTTTTAAGTTGTTTTTATGTTGTACTAGGTTTGTGTGAGCGACTGAAATTGGCCAACCTTAGTTGTCCTTCTCCTTTATCTTTTATGCTCATGGAAAATAAACTTAGAATCCTTAGTCTTCTTGAAACCATGGGGATACAAATCACCTCTGAACAAGTAAATATGTCCACTTTATGCTATATGAGCTTGATCTGTCAAAGTATCCCTAGGTGCAGGGGGAAACTAAACTATTTGACTGAGGACAAGCCTAGTAATTCTGATAGTAGATACAGAGAGTGGATGAGAGAGAATTACATAATCATGACCTGCTTGTGGAGTAGTAAGGAACCCCAAATAAGTGTCAATGTGATGTTTCTTGATACAAATAAGGAAATGTGGGACACTGTGAAAGAAACATTTTCCTCAGATAAAAATGTATCGCAGGTGTATGAGATGTTTGAGAAAATATTTCAATTGCAACATGGTAATAAGAGAGTGAGTGAGTATTATAATATATATCAGCCTATATCTGGTGATTTGGAATTATAGAGTAGGCGGGGTGAAGAATTTAGGGTTGCCAAATTTTTATCTGGCCTTGATCTTGAATACCGTTCTGTACATGGACAGATCTTGACTAGCAGCGATCTCTCGTCTCTTGCTAATGTTTACTCTCTACGAGTCAGCATATCTACTTCTCCCTTTCCTTCTGACTCTAGTATTAGTGATTGTGGCAGAGGTCGGGGATGTGGTCGTGACTCAGGAAGAGACCGAGGTAGAGTTGATTGTGGCAGGGGTCGAGGAACTCGCAAGTGTATGTATTGTGGTGGTACAAATCTCATGTGTCAGAAGTGTTGAGACAAGGTTGGTAAGCCTGTTAGGCCAAATCAGGTTACTTACACATTTGAGAGTGAGGAGCCTTATTTGAGTAGACTCAATGTTCACCAACAACAGTCAGATTCTACTAATGACTCTGTTGTGCTTTCCAAAGAAGAATATAATAGATATGTTAAACAAGTACAACAATCTATGGTTCCTTCTTCCACTTCTATTGCCACCCTTGCAAATTCATGCAGTTTTGTGCTTCTTGCCTCTTAGAAACCTACTTCCTGGACTGACTTCTAATCACATGACTAGTGAATCCTCCATTTTTGTATCTCTAAATAAGTGTATTCCTAATTCTTCTGTTACCCTGTTGATGGATCGTTGTTCAGTGTGTCATGGCAGGGTACAATTATGCCTACTTCCCTTTTTCTGTCATCTGTACTTTACGTCCCAAAGTTTCCCTTCAGTTTATTATCTGTGAGCAAGTTAACCAAATCTCTTCATTGCTTTGTAACCTTTTATCCTTGTCCATATGTCTTTTAGTATCTACAGACGAAGAGGACAATTGGTGGCAGGTATGAGTCAGGCGGCATGGAAGAGGAGACGGATGCTCTTCATTCAAATGATACATGGGAACTCACCGAGTTACCAGCTGGAAAAGGGAATGGTGGGGTGTCAATGGATTTATGCAGTAAAATATCAACCTGAAAGAACTGTAGATAGATTAAAGGCCAGATGGTTGCCAAGGGTTACACAAACTACTCTGAAACCTTTGCTCTTGTTGCTAAACTTAATTCAGTTTGAACGGTTATATCTATGGCCACCAACAAGGGATGGCTGTTGTGGTAACTTGATGGCAAAAATGCTTTCCTCCATGGTGATTTGCAAGAAGAGGTGTAGATGGAGCAACCACATGGGTTTGTTGCTCAGCAGAAGTTAGATAAAGTGTGTAAGTTGAAGAAAGCCATTTATGGCCGAAAATAGTCTCCATGGGCATGGTTTGAAAGGTTCAGTGAAATTGTTATGCCATATGGATTTCGAGTCAGTATGTAGATCATTCAGTGTTTATTTGGAAACAAGACTCTAGAATAATTGTTTTAGTTGTCTATGTTGATGATATTGCTGTTACTGGTAATGATCAAGAAGGAATCAGTCATGAAGATACATCTGAAAGACCGAAACAATATGTTTAGGTTAAAGATTTGGGCCAGCTAAGGTATTTTCTAGGAATTGAAGTAACCAGAACACAGCATGGCATTAGTTTGTCTCAAAGAAAATATGTGCCTAATTTGTTGAAAAAATTTGGAATGTTGGATGCTAGACTAGTGGATACTCCTATGTATTCGAATATGAAATTATTAGCTGATCAGGGGAAGTTGTTTGAGGATTTAGGAAGGTATAGAAGACTGGTTGATAGGCTGATTGATCACCAAGCCTGATATTGCCTTTGCAGTAAATGTTGTAGTCGATCTATGCATTAAGAATTCCTCACTAGGATGATGTTCGTAGAATTTTAAGGTAATTGAGGGGAGCCCCTAGTCGAGGTCTGATTTACAAGACAATAATCATTTGGCCATTGAAGGTTACTCAGATGCTAATTGGGCAAGATCATCATCTGACAAGCTGTTTGCCGCAGGGTATTGTACATCCATTGTTGGAAGCTTGGTAACATGGAGAAGTAAGCATCAAAATATTGTGGTTAGATCTAGTGTCGAGGATGAGTGGCACACACTTCATGTGAATTGATATGGCTGAAAACACTGATGCAGGAGATGGGCTTTACTGTTGCTGCAGCTATGAAGATGCATTGCGATGACAAAGTTCTGCCAATATAGCCAGTAATCCAGTGTTTTATGAAAGGACCAAGCATATAAAAGCATATTGTCATTTTATCTCAGAGAAAGCTGCTTGTAAGCAGGTGTCTACTGCATCTGTGAGATCTAGGGATCGACTGGTAGACATTTGCACTAAATATGTTCCAAACAATTTGTTCCAAGCTGGGCATGTGTGACATTTATGCTCCAGCTTGAGGGGGAGTGTTCAAATCCTTTGTTATCTAAGTTTTGGGCCAAAGTGTCTAAATTATATTTGTATGGGCAGTTTTTCCAAAGCATAAATTCTAAAAAAATATAAGGCTGGGAGGAATGTGACGGTAGGTTGAACCTCTCGTTTTGTCTTCCCTCTCATGTTTCTCATATTTCTCTCCTCTCTTCTCTCTTGTTCTTCTTTTTCTTTTTCTCTTTTCTCTCTATATTCTCTGATAGATACAAATATTATCTCATGTTTTTTTAAATGTGATATTGATTCCATTATTATAGTGCAAAATAGAATTTTTGTCTCTGCCCAATCCTAGTACCATTAGACACGTGATCTGAGCCAATCCTAACACTATTAGAAACGTGATCTGAGCCAATCCTAGTACAATTAAAAACATGATCCAAATCATACCTGAATCTCTGTTGTTCGGAGCACATATGAACAATGGCAGAAAATAGTCTCCAGTATGGTTTCCAAATAACTCAAGTCGAAATCCATAAATATTTGAACCACTCCGTATATCCCAGATTTGTACACATTAGTATTTGATTTTGTGGTATTACAATCCAAAACTATCAAATCAAGATTCTGAGGATGGAAACGTGATTCAATGTTTGATTAATGATGGTTTCTTGCAATCTTCGAACTGCAATACTTGATGTTCAGGATTCTAGATTCAAAAACAATTTAATCTAGTATCCTTATATGTGCAATCCAGATTTAACTAGTGTAGAATCGAGAATCAATAAATTTTAGAAACAAAATTCTGTAAGTGCTGGAATAGAGATTCCTAAAAATAAAGAATTGAGATGAAGGGTTGAGAAAGGCTGCCACATATCAATACATATAAAATAGTATAAGTAATATTATATATGATACATAATATATAATTATTATATAATTTCATATAATATTAGGTTTATGAAAAGATCTGTGCTGACAAGGATTGGGAAAAACGCTATCATCACTAATATATGTATTATACAATATGATATGTATTAGGTTGTCGAAAATATGTTGGGAAAGGCTTCCACCATTGTTTTTCTTTCACATGTCCTAAAAAATGGCTGTGAACAATCAACAAAAGGGGGAGAGAGAGGCTAAAAAGCAAGAGAAAGAGAGAAAGTACAAGAGGAGAGAGAGAGAGAGAGTACGAAGAAGAGAGAGAGATGAAGAGAGAGAGAGAGAGAGAGAGAGAGAGAGAGAGAGAGGAGGAGGCTAAGCGAGAGAGGGGATTGGGAATTTTTCCTGGGCAGCCGAGTTTTAGTGGGTGCCTAGATACATATCCACATAGGGTGCCGCTCTAGGCCAATGCGTTCAGCTGGTCCCCCTAGACCACCTAGGCAGCCCACTTAGGTGGCTTGGTCCCGAGCACATTACAACATTGGATAACCAAATTGGTCCCAAGCACAAAAGGGAGGAAAAATAGTTGTCACCTATTACTCAGCATACAGTAGAGGTAGTTTAATTGAAAAAAAAAAAAAAAGAGGACAATAAGTCAGATCTAAGGATCTGAATGCTCTGATACCATGTCAAGAATATAGTAGCAGAGAATAAGAAGAGAGGTGAGAGGAAGAGACTTGAAAGTTCGAGAAAGACTGGAAAATGAAAGGAGGTGGCTGGAGGCAGTCACATTTGGGTTACACAGCCTCGACGCACTTCTTATCTTTAACTACATTGGTGACTTATGTGCAAAAGAAAATAATACCCTTAACTATTATACTAATGTCCTGAAATATTTAAAAAAGGATAAAAATGCTCGTTTGGCCCACAAACCAGACACATAGTTAGAAGAACTAATCTTTAACAGTTTTCTGTACTTTTTTTTGACATTCGTGATGCTTTTGATGTCAGGAAACATTGGAATCATTGATAAACCATGGAAAGTATCAAAGAAGGATGTTTGACCAAGCGGTGCAGCTCGTCCGTCCTGGTGGAGTTATTGTGTATTCAACGTAAGTCTTTTGAGTGTGAAGTCGTAGAGTCATCTTTCTATTGATCTCTTTTTAGTGGTTTGCCAGTTGACCAATGTATTTCAGTATATTCATATGAATATGAATAAGCTTACTTTTGTTTTCATTTTAGTTTCATGTTAGTTTCAAGGTAAAAGGCATGAAGCACAATAGGAATAATTACAAGGTAATGTTTACACTAAGATTTGGTAAAGTTCATTGAATCTACTCGGGGGTTGGGAATAGCTTGGCAATGTTATTGAATATATACGTCTTTTAGAATTGCAGGCAGTATTATATGCCAACAAAGTGAATCTCATTAGGAATATACGAAGGGGTGCTACAGTGTCCACATGATGCGAACGCTTGAAGGGTGTACAAGCACTCTTTGATGGTTCAGTTCGAATCTAGCGTCATCCAATAGTTGTAAACTAGTTTTGTATTTCATTTTTTATTTTTATTTAAATTTTATTTTTTCTGAAATTTGGGGTATAGATGCATTTTTATGTGGCACACCAAATAAAAATTACAACAAAATATTTTGAAGAAAAAAAATTGACTAGAAGACCCCTGAATTGTTTCAGGGGTATTGTGGTTAATCTTTCTTGTTGAAAATACTTTGTTATTATTTTTATCTGGTGAGCCATATAAAAGTGCATGCTTGCCCCAAATTTCAGAAAAATAATTTTTCAGAAAAATAGTTTGTTAGTAAAAATAAAAAAATGAAATGCAAAATTAGTTGGAAGCCGATAGATAGGGCCCTGTTCGATGTGGGCAGGACACTTTCCTATGCATGAAAAATATAGATTGACAGTGGTCACGATTATTGAATGTAATGTACTGAATTCATTGAATTGTTATTATTTTGATTCATGAGAATATACAAACTTCTGTAAACAAAAAATCAAGCTTGTGCAGATAGAATTATGGTTGGATATAGTTATTTGATGGTTTTCAATGTGAATCATCATCCATATACTAAGGAAAAAGCGATATTTTTTTTATACCAATAGTAATCAGTGTACTTTTTTCCACACACCCTTAAAATTATGGAAGGGTTTGGATGCATTTCTATGTTAGAAGAAAAACTAAACTATTAGTATCATGTGGAGAAAGGTAGTGATATGTTTGTGTACAAAGTAAACTGATCTGTTTTCCACTTGAGCTGAGATGCAGGAGTTAATTTTTAAGAGCTCGAACTGTCATATTACATCTGTTGGCTTGTAGATTTGGATGCCCGGTTTGAAATCTTATTGTATGATTTAGAAGCAATAAGAATGGGGACACTTGGCTTATTGGTTAGGGCAGTGAAGCTACAGCTTAAGGTCAAGGGTTTCAATCCTACCACTACACAGAAAATGCTATGTTGCTTCAAATGGAAAATTCATCTTGTTCTTGTTTTTTATAGTTCATGCTAGTCTAGTTTGAGTGTTTCTTTTTATGTCCATCACTGTTGTTTCATCGAATCATATCAGCACTTTGTTGAATTGTATCAATACCACCTCATTACAACAATAAAGTCTTCACCTTCATTTACACAATCTCCTGAGATAAGGACAGATTCGGGGAGCTAGCAAATCTGCTCATTATTTTCCTTACTTTCCTTAATCCAATGGAAACGATTGTTGGGGAGATGCAGTAGCTGAGATATTTCCTAATTGAGCTGAGATATTTCCTAGTGAAGTTTCTTATCCGGAACTTTTCATGTGAGAAGTTGTTTCTTTATAAGATGATGGACAAAGTGATTTCAGGAGTGCCATACCTAGCCTCAACTTCTAGAGCTTCATTTCAAGTCACATTTCTTTGATTGGGTGAAAGAATGCACAATATAATTTGTCTATGACATTCATTTGTTGATTGGAGTTGAATAAAAAATGGATTGTTCCTGTGATAAGACATGCACAGTTTTAACTGTGATAGTTTTCTTGCTGATTTTAATGTATCGCTTGAGAAATTTTTTGCAGTGTAATAGTATCCTTCGGAAAGACGCATAGACTATGTTCACTCTAGGGATAATTATGAAGTCGTAGTGTGGGCTATGATTTCAAGAATCCTTCTAAGGTTATTTTTAGTTAACCATTTTGCTCTATGTTGGGATTCATCCTAGGATGGGAATTGCTTACCTTTCCCTCAATGACTGAACTGTTTTAGCTCTAGACTGGCCATATATTGAATGATAATCTGAGAACACCAAATTCTTCCTCCTGGTACACAAATCACTTGTTGCTTTATTTATTTGAACTTAAAGAAACCACATGTGAAACAAAATATGACACTTAATGGCAATTGCCTAAAGGGAAGTTCCTTCATAGAAACTGTGGGAATCAGGAGTGAAATAGTATCAAAGGGAGGTTCCTTCGTACCGAGCTGCCTACATTTCTTTCTTATGTGGATATCTGGAAAATAAAAAGAAATAAAAAAAAAAAACAAGCTACTAATTGATCCTATTAGGTTCACGAAGGAAATAGGTGCATGTCATGTACTAAATCATTTTCCAGTGGTTAAGCATTAAACTGAATAGTCTTAAAATGTGAATATTAACGCTGCCTTTGATCTTAAGCTTGCTCGATGCTTCTGCGAGGGTTGCATTACAGATTCCCAAGGGCATAACCTGGTAGAAGAATGTGATTAGTTGTCATCATCTAGTACCTGATTGGCTGCTCTTGATGACAAGCACAAATTGAACGCTGTTTGTATGTTTATATTTTCTTTTGTATTTCATATTTGTGCTGATTATTTTATGTCAAGGTGCATTTTAGTGAGGTTTGTTGTGTCCTTGATATTGGTATTTTTCCCATCTTGAAGTACTTGTGTCTTTATTTCTTTGTATTTTCTTATTTTCCCTAACTTCCTTTTTTCTTTCTTTCTTTTATTGTATTAGATGCAATTGTGATTTTCCTTTTTTCTTCCTGGGGTTAGTGATTACTATTGTTTTGGTTACTGAACATTTTCTTTATTCTCCCTCTTTCAGATGTACAATGAATCCAGGAGAGAACGAGGCCTTAGTTCGTTATGCTCTGGATACTTACACATTCCTTTCTTTGGCACCTCAAGTATGTTTCAAAAAGTTGTATGCAACTGCTTCGTTAATGCTTCTTTCTTTCATGGTCTTCTTTTTGTATATTTGAGTGAAATTTTTCATAGTTACTAAATCACTTACTATATTTGCTTCAATATCACTTTTGTGGTGTTGTTTTACTTTGAAGTTTCAATTGCCTATTTAGTTCATATTGGCAGCTTTTAAACTTGTTCATTCTACTTCATATTGCTTCGTATTAGTGTCTTGTATTACAATTTTGGGCTCTAAGTTTAAGAACACAGCAAAGGTCTGGGGCAAGTTGGAAGGAACTGTTGGTACAAATGAGGACGGAGGTTATAGATACATTCATAGGATTAGGATGTCAAAAGTGAAAGAAGTTTTGAAGAGTATGAAGATAGGAAAGGCTTTAGGACCAGATGGTATCTCGATAGAGGTTTGAAAGTGCATGGAAGAGATTCACATTGACTAGCTGATGAAGCTGTTCAACAAGGTGTTGAGAATAAAGAAAATGCCAGACAAATAGAGGAAAACTATTATGGTACCTATTTACAAGAACAAAAGCCACATGCAAAATTGTGCCAACTATTGAGGGATCAAGCTTATCAACCATACTATGAAGCTCTGGGAGAGAGTGATTGAGCAACGATTAAGGCATGAAACAAGTGTATCTGAAAACCAATTTGGTTTTATGCCAAGAAGGTAAAAAACTGAGACTATTTTCCTACTTAGGCAACTGATTGAGAAGTTTAGGGTGAAGAGAAAAGACCTTCGGATGGTCTTTATTGATCTAGAGAAAGCTTATGATAGAGTACCATGAGATTTGATTTGGCGGTTGTTGTAAAAGAAAGGAGTCTCCACACATTACATCGACTTGGTAAGAGATATGTACATTGGAGCACTAACTAGTGTACGAACAACTAGTGGAGAGACGAGTGAGTTTTCAGCGACAATAGGTCTACATCAAGGGTTAGCATTGAGTCCGGACCTCTTTGTCTTAGTTATCGACGACTTAACTAGGCACCTACAGGATGAGGTACCGTGATGCATGTTGTTCACAGATGACATAGTTTTGATTGATGAGACCCGAAACAACGTCAACACAAAGTTAGAACTTTGGAGAGATGCTCTAGAATCCAAGGATTTTAAAATTAGCTGCATTAAGACAAAGTATATAAAATGCATGTTTTGTAATAATAAGAGCAGAGATGAGGAAGTAGTTAAGATTGGCAGCCAAGAAGTACAAAAAAGACCGCAGCTTTGATCTCTTGGGTCGCTATCCAGGAAAATGGAGAGATTGCGAAAGATGTCACACACAAAATTAGAGTTGGGTGGACGAAGTGAAGATGTGCAACTAGAAATTTATGTGATCGCCACATACTAATGAAGCTAAAGGGCAAGTTCTATAAGACAATTGTGAGACCAGCTTTGCTCTATGGGGCGGAATGTTGCGCAGACAAAACCATATACCCATAGAATGAGTGTATTGGAGATGAGGTTGAGATGGATGAGTGGCAACACAAGAAGGGATAGAATTCAGAATGAATCCATTCGAGAGAATTTATGTGTGGCACCAATAGACAATAAGATGAGAGAGAGTAGAGTTAGATGGGCTGGCCATGTGTGGTGCCGACCAAGTACAACACCTGTTAGGAGGTGCGAGTTAGTTCAAGTAGAAGGATTGAAAAGGGCAACGGGTAGGCCCAGAAGGACGTGGTTGGAAGTAGTCCAAATGGGGACTTATGGCCTCGTTGAGGGTATGACCTTTAATAAAGCAGAATGGCGGACCAAGATTCGTGTAGCCGACCCCAATTAATTGGGAAAAGGCTATGAGGATGATGATGATGAGGTCTGTTAAAATTGATTCGTGTAGCCGACCTGGAGTCGATGTTGATTTGGGTGAGTCACTCGGATTTGGCAGTTTGCCAAGCACTGAACAGAGTACCTAAGCGTACGTTATAGAGTAGTTGGATGAGTACCATAAGTATTCTCCCGAGTATTAAGAAACTTTGGCTGCCTCTCTTGAGTTTCAAAATACTTAAATCACTACAATTCTCAACAAGGTATTGAGGGGGAAAAAAAAAATCTAGATTTGACATACTTTTTAGATCTAAAAATTTTACCAAGTTTTGTCTTGTTTTGAAAAATTACGATTTCTTCGCAACCATTGATCAATCTCGTATAAAACTCAATCCCTAGGCCTATTTTGTGTTCTTGATTCAATCATAGGCTTGATTTTCACGAAAAAGCACAAGAAAAATTAGAATTTGAGAGATTTGAAAATTGCTTTCACTATTCATGTGAATGTTTCGAGATCTCGGATCTCCTAGATCCGAACTTAAAACCCCAAACTGGTTTAGGGGGTTTGGTTGGGGTTTTTTGAGGAAACTTTGACAAGGATTAGAGGCATCAATTCGCATCAGCGTGAAGATAGGGCGATCAACCTCAAATTTGGGTATGTTTCTTTTTTTTTCAATTTAAGTTCATAAAGTTGATTGATTAATTATTGAACCAAATCTAATTGATTTATAATTCATTTTGCATATGCTATTATTTTTTATGACTTTTCTTTTTCTTTTTATTTTCTAACTTTCTGAAATTCCCCTTTGCCTTATTTTTCATGCCAATAACATCAGTTTTATTCATATTCCGTATTTGTATAGTTTTTTATTTTGAATGATTTGTTTGTTTTTACGATTTCTTCTGAATTTTTCAGATTTTTCACAATTTTTATTTTTACTTTTTCTTTTTCATTTCTTGGCTGCCTTTTATCACGAGTGAGGCAAGTCCGAGTCGATTCGCGTTATTAGCTTGGCTCAGTACCTTTCCGAGTCATTTTTTTAGAACACCGATCTCCTTTAACCATTTCAAGTAATATATTTTTCGTTAGATCACTTCCTCTTGTTTTAGAGTATTAAATGTCGTTAGGTTAGACCTTCGCCCTGTTTCATCGCTATAAAGTCACCTTTTTCGATTTTGTTAAGCCCTTGATCTCATCAAGGACTTTTCCTTCTCATCCAGGTCACCAAAGTGAGTTTGTTTCATTCCTTATGTTCTTCACTTAAACCTCTGGTAGTTTTTACCTGCTTGATAACCTTCACCTTGGGGTGTATAGTTTCTTCGTAACACCAATTTGACTATAACTCAGTTATTATGCTATTTGTTTTCAACCATACATGGTAAGCCTCACCCAACTAAGTCGATATCCAATACAGTATTTGCAGTGGCAGATGAAATCTTAGTGAGTATTCTTTTGCAGAGATTGATGTATTGGGGTTTCTGATCCCATGAAATGCGAAAACTTTCGGACCTCCTTGTTATTGGGTTGTTCTCATGTTAGTGAATGCATCTACACTGAGTCCAAATGCATGTACAATGGTAATGAGACATTCTAAGCTACAGCCTTATATTTTGAATGGAATGGAAGTTTTTTGACACAAAAAATGTGCAATTGCCAAACTCCTAAGGGTTTTGTTAAAGTTGAACTTTCAGAATAACAAAAATCCTAAACAGTTTTCATTCCTGTTCTTGTGGTTGAACTTCATATAATCTGTAACTAAAGTTGGTCCTGTTATGGATCCTTCCTCTTGTCTTTCGCTGATGTTGGTTGCAGTGTAAGAAATCATCAATGTGATGTAATTTCTACAAGGTTAAGACTATGTTACTTCAATTTTCGTTGGCTTTCTAAATTTGTATTTATCCTTCAACTTTGTTACTTGTTTGAAATACTTTGATTTCCATTGTTAGGAATTTAAACATGATGTCGGCGTCTCTTTATTTAGATTATTTAGATATCAAATCTGAAAATCCTTGGCCTGGTTTGCCTTAAATTGTAGTACAAAACTACCTTTTGTCGAGATACATTTATACTCCATTAAATTATGAGTTCTTGTTTAAACTAATAAGCATTATGCATTGTTTAAGTTTTCTAATATTTTAACTGTTAAGTTGGAACTAATCTATACTTTGCTAATATACGGTTGACTCATCAATGACTTGACTCTAATTGTTGTGGTAAAAGCAGCTATTTAAATTTAATATTTATAGTTTTCTACATCTAGTCCATTGTCTTGATATTTTGTGTACTTTCATATGTCCAGCATCCTTATGTTGGGGGCCCTGGCCTTGTGGGCGGTAGTCAAGTATTTGATGGGGAGTATTTTGAGTAAGTAATCTTTCATTCATTTTTCTAACTTGCTAGAATTTCTAATTTTGATTAAATAGGATAACTTATGATTGGTTCTTTCAGTTTACTGCCATATGAAAATAATCTTGTTGTAGTAAGTTTTTCTTATTTCTATCTAAAGCTATCATTCCTATACATGTCAGTGTTTATCTTTTCATATAATGTATTATAGTTTTCAAATTGGTTTTGACTGATAATGAGACATGCCTAAGTCCTTGATTGTAATAGAATATGATAACTGACTGACGTTGATGACACATGCTTATTAGCATTCATTCTTTTTACATCAAGTGACTTGCATTCTTTTGGCCTTGATGTTGTGGTGATTTTTTTTTTTCTAAAGTAATTATTCTTATTTGGTGCTAGCGGCTAAATTTGAGAATGAACATTAGAGGGCGTGTGGAGGCAGCAAAGTTTTAAAAACATTTTTTTTTAAATCTCATTTCTTTAAAAAGTGTGCCTCTCGATCTTTGAATTTACAGATTAATGCTATAGATTTGTTGTATGTCTAGACTATTGTCATGATTTATAAAACTACTTCCAAGTCTATGAGATTCTAGTGCTAATTCCTACTAAAATGATAATTTCTCAAAATTACTAAGAGTAGATCAGTTTTTGGAAATTTTTGTTGTATTCTTGATTGGAAGTTGACAGATGTAATCTTAAAAGCTAGATAACGATGTGTTGAGGTTATGTGGCCATTTAAAGTCCTTATTAGAACATGTAAATCTTTGACTATAGTGATGTGATAGCTCCAGTGGGAGTGCGGTCTGGAAGGACCAATGATTTAAAAAGCAGATCGCCCAGTGCCTGGGCGGCCACCTTAGGCGGTCCATGCGCCCAGGCATAGGCGGCCAAATTAGGCAGATATTCATGGGCGCGTGCCTAGGTGCTCAGGAACCCCCCTAAGCGGCTGCCCAAGGCCTGTGCCCTGCTCATGGGCAGAAATGCCCCTCGTAGAGGGCATTTTTTTAATACTAAAAGGGAAAAATTGTGGGTTTTAAGTCATTTGAAACCTAAAACTCATTATAGCCTATCTTAGAGAGAGAAAAACCCCCACAATTTTTTTCTTTCTACTGAGCTGCCTAGGTTCTAGACGCCTGCCTAGGCGTTGGGCGGCTTGGACCCCCCCCGACCACAAGCGCTATTTGAAACACTAGGATGGACCTTGTAGCATGGTCCAGGGTGGACTGTGAGGCTGTGGCTCACCTAAGTTTTGACAGGTTAGGGCTCAAGTTGATTCTAAAAACTCGTGGCCCTAGGCATTTGTGCACCACCGATAAGGGTTTCGATGTGGGATCATCCCTTTATGAGGTCGGAGTTGTGCCCAGGGTGGTTGGCTTGGGGACTGGGTGTGACCCTGTATGCGGTGGTTTGCAGGAGAGGACAATGGTCAAATCCTCATCATTACACCATCGCATGGTGATAGTCGTCCAGGGTGTGTGTTGTGTACATGTGCCGAAGAGATGTATCCCTGCAACAATGGACTATGTTGAAAGGACCCCTGAGGTATTGTTCTAGAATGACGCAGGGAGGAACCTGTAATCCATGAGTCATGGGCTAGGTTTGTGTCTTTTTCTTTGATAGTCCAAGCATGAACCTCTGCAAGGGCTGTGGTTCATGGGAACTATTAAGTCAGTTTGAGACAGTGTTTTAGAAAACGCTAGGCAGCGCTTAGGCGGCCAGGGGGGTCCCAGCCCCCCAAAGCCTAAGCGAACGCCCAAAACCTGGGCGGCTCAGTAGAAAAAAAATGTCTCTATAATCTAACAATATAAGTATAACTGTATAACACATAAGAGTTGGGGACTTAGGGCACATCAAATGTATAGTACACAAGTCCACTTAGCACACACTCCTCCATACTCCATAAGTCCATCCAATTATCTGTAGTCTGATCGTCCACACACCACACATAGTTAAAACTTAAAATTTACCAACCAAAGTTTCCAAATCAGTGAACCACAAATCCAAATACACAACCAAGAGGAGGAAAACAAAAAAAAAGAAATATAGTATGTAGTCTATAAGCACGGAACAAGCCAAAGAAGTGAGTGGAGTAGAAAAGGCTCGTTCCGTGCAACTGCACTCCACTCATTCAGTTTCACTACAGAGCCAAAGAAGAAGGAGCTAGGTAGAACTATTGGGCTTTCAAGCTCTGGGGCTGAGAATCCGTCCCTACCAAGCACAGGAGCTATATGTCTATCTGTACTCGAAATCAAGAGGGAATTATAGACTTGGCTACTGGAAGACTCAAAAGAATCTTCAATCATCATTCATCAATCATCATAAAAAAAAGTAGGGTCAATTGCATATGCTTCATATGCATCGGAGTAGATGCCATCATCATTGTAATCATCTTCGTCTTTGACATAATGGTCGTCCTCCTCTACCTCTTCTGAATCTGCCTCTGCTTGCTCTCCACCCTCGCCCTCTATGAAGAAGATCTAGTAGCCCTAGAAGGGTCGGTTGATGTGTCCCTGGGGCCTCCATGACCATGTCCCATGTCAATCCTTCATGCCCCTCGACCTGATCATCATCAACCAACCACTCTATAGCATTGTCTATATTTTTTTATTTGAGGGGGTCTCTCTTATCTCTCTTAGCAAACCTGTCCTTCAAGTATCAATTATACTTGACATAGACTAGGTTATTGAGCTCTTTGATTCAAGCCTGTTCTTTTCTTTTATATGAATCTAACAAAATCAAATGAAATTAATTAATATAAATAATTAAATAGAGCATAGTAATACTACAAAACTAATAACTAGTAAACTACTAAATTACTAATACAAATTACCATCTCAAAAGTACTCCAATTCTGCTCTTTGTCGGACGAGGTAGTGGTTAGGCTTAAGATCCGAATGGCCAACTTTTGTAAATTTGGAGCACTACACCCATGTTGGCTCCACCAATTGGTTGCAAATTGATTTTGAGTTATAAATTTACAATTGTTGATTATGTATGAACCAATGGTTTAAAACGCGGATCGGTGACCCGAATCGGACACCTCAAAAACCGATCCGGATCGGCGAATCGGCGATCCGGATCGGGAATCGGATGAATCGGTCGGATTAAAGCTTCAAAAAAATCTGAAAAAATTATTAAAATTCATTACAAATGTTGTTTTAGGAATCCAATAAAAAATGAGGGTACTACATTATTAACTTTCATTTTTTTTATCAATATGTGAATATTGAGATGCTCTTTCCCTGTATAAACTTATTTTAACTATTAAATTTGCATCACATAAAAGAAAAATCATAGAATTATCATGGATAAAATATATAATTATATATGGACTATTATAAAGAGTAGACTAATCAATGAAAGAATAGCCATTAAAATCTCGTTTTGGCGAAAAACCCTAATCCGCTAAAAAAACCCAAACTATTACAGCCTAACTAACTATAATCCAAAATTATTACAACCTCACTAATTATAATATTATATACTGAAATTATAATTATTAGTTTACATTTTATAATTATTTTATTAGACAAATAATAACAAATTAAAAATATTTTATAATATTATCTAATTTAAAATTTATTATTGACAACTGTAAGAAAAATAGTACATTACATGATTTATAATGTAAAAATTCATAAATAAAATAAAAGATTTGGTTATCAATGTAAAAATTCATAAAATGCGTACAAATTTTGGAAATAACACTTCAATTTTTCAAAAATTTATTTTTTTAGGTTTCTATAATAAATTTAGTAAAAGAGATTGTTAGTAGAAAGATGGAGATTTCAAATAGAATAAAATTTTTATTTTTATTTTTTTATACCTTACATATTATTTACAAAAATAATTATACCACTCTATATACAACAAAAATTAACTGTTATATAAAAAATTAATTTTTTTATTGTTCATTTTTTTATGCCTTTTATATTATTTACAAAAATATTTATATTTATACCAACAACTATATACACAACAAAAATATTTATATTTATACCAACCACTATATACACAACAAAAATGCAACACATGCCCAAGGGGATTCAAATGCAACACATGCCAAAGGGGATTCGACCTTGGGACATCATGTAAAAAAATAAAAGTCATAACCATCAAGCCATCTAACTACATGTGATTATAAATTGCTGATTAATAGACTATATTTATATTTCGTTTTCATTTAATGATGTTTGGGAATTATCCCACATCGAAAGATTGGTATTCAACTTTGGTATACAAATACCTATGTAATATGAACTATATCATGTGTGCAAAAATATTAGGGCAACTTCACACGTGCGCTTGGATACATGTGTGCACGCGTGAGTGTGCGTGGGGCATGTTCACACGTGCGCTCGGATACTCGTGTGCGCGAGTGAGTGTGCGTGGGGCACGCTCGCACGCGCGCTCGAACACACGTGTGCACATGTGAGTGTGCGTGGGGCACGCTTGCACGTGCGCTTGGACACACGTGCACATGTGAGTGTGCGTGGGGTATGCTCGCACGTGTGTGTCATGCGTTACGTGTGTGAATCGGGTAAAACCGGATGGGAACTAGCGGTTCTAATCTAAAATCGGGCAGTTCCCGGTTTTGTACGGGAACCGGCACGGGCTTTGCCGGTTCCCGAGTCAAACCGGGCGAGTCCGGTTCGACTTGCCGTTGTTTAAAATACTGGTATGAACTATTAAGAATTTAAGATATAGAGTAATAAAATTATAGATTATGGAAAGGAAAACAAACTACAAACAAGAACTGAAACTTGAAATTGATGAACTTAAGAATACTATACTTGGATCAATTTTGGGCCTTTACCTCATCACCATTGGACTCTCAAAAGACTTTAATGTACACATGTAGCTTATTAGCTCATCAGCGCATATAATATCTTGGATATCCGGATCAGTGACTAGCACATCTACACACTTATTAAATCTTGTCATAATTATGTCATTTGTGTGAATATTCTTATCAACATAATAAAAAGCTAGGTTCAAATAATAACCAGCTA